TAGTATTTTTAAAATAACATTAGAATGTATGAAATAGAAAGAAAATTAAAGACTAAAAACTTTTATTAAAATAAAAAAATTTGATTTTTTGAATTTTACATAAAAACTATCTGAAAACTAACCTTTGTAACCTAAGAAATTCTTTTTTCTCTTGTAAATTTACATATATTTTTATTGTAACTATGTGTTTGTCCATACTTTTAAAAGGATCTTAAAAAATACCTTAATTTTAAGACGAAAGTTTGTATATATGTTGAAAAAAAAAAAATTTATTGAACCTGATAATAAATTACTTAATTTAGATCAACGTTGTATAATGAAACAAGTGAACAAAAATAAAATGAAGTGATACAAATATGGGTACACAAAGTTCAATTTAATATGAAAATGATTTTAATCCATAATGCGATGCGTATGTTAATGTATTGCAAATAAATAAACGTTTAGGGTACTAAGTGACCCGAGCAATGTAGTCAAATATTTTCTCGTGGCGATTGTAACAATCTTTTAGACCGTACATACTAATTTTTCTCGAGCGTATATGCATGCTAATACAGGTACAGGGTTATTCCCAAAATTATTACGTATATTATTGTAAAAGGACCTCTTGATGATCTATAGCGTTAAATTCTTTTATTGTTAAATTAAGGAGAGGTGGTTGATCATCCCCAAAGCATATTCCAAAATCGATCCTGCGAATTATATAAAAAAGTGATGTCCCTGTTAGTGAATCCATTTATCCGCCTTATGCAAATTAAAAAAGGAAAATTTGAGCGAAACATTCAAACTTACCATAATTTACATTATCGATATTATCATCCAATCAAACAAACTTGTATAATCCGCAAAGTAATAATAAGGTATGTTGGTTTTATTGATCTGCTAGCTTCTTGAAACATGTCATAACGATGTTAATCGATTTTCCCGCCTCTATAGATGTTCCAAAACAAAACGGACATATTGCTCTTCTTGTTATATATCGGCATTTTGATCTTCGCCGAGAAAATCTTTGACAATCATCATGCATACAATAGACGCAATATTACAAAAAATAAATTCCCGTGATGAGATATTATTTTATCTAATCAACTCCACGTGTATCAACAGCGTAGTAAAATTTATGATAAGCATCTTCACGTGCCGAATCTTGAAAACAAGACGGACTGGAATATACTGTACAGAATAAATTCGGGAGATTAGCAACTGAGGTAAAAAAAAATTCATACTTACCGTTACATCTCACTTTCATTTAATCTCAGAGAGGTTCACTTGCGTGAAATAATCTGTACGGGTGGTATTAATATATATAGGCGTAGATATGGGTTGGGTAGAAAAAGTGTATGGGGTTGAGAATCTCGTAGTTAACATTAGTAATAGAAACAAAATAGTTATAGAAATTTATCTGAAGAGTGAAATAAATAACTTGATGCTTGAAAATCAATAATAAAGTTTCGCCCACTTCGGCATTTCGCATCGAAATTTTTTTTCTTTGTAAAAAACCGTTAACATTGGTAACGATAGAATCATTTGACTTGCGATTATTAAATGAAAAGACGTTCACAGTCGACTGTACACTGGAAAACAGCATGCAGGGACTAGGGCCTTAATACTATGATTAAGGACAGCTCTGGAGACTGCCTCCAAACATCTGAACGCAGGACGGTATGGCCTGACGACAGTAGGGATACGCGCGACTGTGAGCGTGTATTAGAAGATAATAATCAGGTGAATTTTTTAGGGGCTTAGAACGATCGGCGTCTATTTATATACTGCATATACTGTACGTCTGTACTACCAATTTCTAAAAAAACCTACTAACTCGCGACGGAAATTGTCTTATAAGGTCAATCAATTTTGTCAAGACGTTTTCAAATGGATAGACGACTAATTATTTGTGTTTGTTTATAGATGTTTGAATCAGTTGTGATTGAATACCTCGATAAAACTTTAAGTAAAGATTGGTCAATCCTCGGAATATTAGAATTTGCACGACCCAAATTATCTCCAGATACAATTAATAATTTCAAAGAAGATTTATACGTAGTATTACGGGGATATCTAGAAAAATGCAATGTTCATGTCAACGCAAAAAAAAAAGTGAAGAAGATTTTAACTAATTTTAACACATATTTCTCCATTGACAAAGTGAGACAATTCATTATTGAACTTGAATATAACACGGAAACACGCATGAATGTCACGTCTGCATACACAATTGAAGTTTTGAAGGTAATTTTTTTGAGAAAATTTGTAAACAAGCCTCACAATGGACTTATCACTTCAACAATTTTTAGGATCAGCAAGATAATCGAAAGCTCATCAATCAATTAAGAGAAGACATCTCTAGTATAAATTCAAATTTGGAAGACGGACAGGAACAGGTTAATGTTCAAGTGACTTGCGACAGGATTGCTTCTTTACGTTCGGCAGACCCTTCTACAGGGGCATCGCAATCAAACTTTCAGGAAGATGGAGAGAAGGATGAAGAGGAAAATGAAGAGGAAGATGAAGATGAAGAGGAAGAGAAAGATGAAGACAATGCTACAAATAATAATGCTAATTACGTTGCTAAGAAGAATTTTCCAGAAAATAATTATGATCATAACGATGATTTTGTTGAAGTTACTTATGTAGATAGTTTAGAATGTCAGAGTCGTACTAGTCGTTGGCTCTTGTCCAGTGGAACAGATGTATTGAATGTTTTGTCGAAATATGAGAAAATAGTCCCAGAAAATCAAAAATGTTTAAAGTGAGTTACGTTCATATCATATTTTATCGATAGTAATAATTGTGTTAATGTGGTACTTGTAGCCCCGTTTGTTGGGGCATTCTAGATCTCACCGGCGCCCATCCCGAAACTAAAGCTTTATTTTCACCAGAAGATTGGGCAGAAATGGTTAACAACTTTAAACAAGAAGTTAAGCTATCACAAACAGATATACCTAAAATCGTGATTCATTTTTTTGATGAAGTAAATCAGGTATTTGAAGGTAATTTGAAATTTTATCCGATGATACTCTTCTTATTGAATCATGTATTTGCAGATTGTTAAGAACAATCACGACCCTACAATGGAAATCGATAGACTATTTCCGGAAGTCATTGAAAAGAAATATAATATTACACTCAGCACAGAAGAAAAGGTCAATATTTTTGCCCTGAAACGTGCCATTGTTACATAGTAAGTCGACGTCCATTTTGGTTGATTTTAGTTAATTTTCTTGTTATTTTTATTAATTCATCATGACCATTTTTAAAAGTATCGAAAATCTCAAAGGGGCCGATTTGTTAGTCTCGGAATCAGATTTCGATAACTCTTTTCCCAATAGTCTTATGAAGAGGTTTCTGGATCAAGACGAAGTGAAAATAGATGTGTAGGTTGCGAGAAGAGAATCAAATATTCACATTCAACTATATTCATATATGTTTTTATTCTATATTCTAGAGGAGAAATCTGTTGTTGGGGGTCTGCGCAACGTCGAAACGAAGGTCGCTCAGTGATATTACGCGCTAGAGTCGGCCAAAAGTGCGACTTTAGAGGGATACTTAAAAATAGTGTAGATAAATTAGAAGCCATAGTTGGTCTTAGAAGCGGTGGACTTCCAACGGCACATCGGCGAAAAATTTTCGAGGATCATATAGATTTAAGTGTAACAATGCGTGACATTCTGTATTCATTTTTTAAATCGAATCAAAATGCTTCAGATGATATTTTACATCGAACATTTTTGCTTGGGACTCAATCTTGGGGTAAGTAAACAATTGTTACAAAATGCAATAAGATAGTGGAGTTTAACATTTTTCACTTTGCTCCTAGGGTGGACTCATGATGTTTACGGGATGGACTGCAAAGCAACAAATATTTGCAGATTCGGGAAGCTTTGCAGAACAAAAATGCCACACACTTCTGAAACAATAGGTTGTTTAGAGGCTTTTTATGCTGTTATGTTAAACGTAAAGGTAATTATTATATGTATTCATTATTAATACTATGCACTCTCTCAAAATTTAACACGTTGATTTAATTTCAGGCTACCCTTAAAGACATTCGTGAACATGTCAATAGTGTTGCACTGGTCCATTCTCAGGCACATCGGAATGGAAAGAGAAAATTTGAAGACTCTAAGGTTGGAGGCTGTTTCGGAGAAATTAAAACATCACCAAGAAAAATTCGCACCAAATATTTGTAAAAACAAATGCTTACGTGATATTATAAAATTTTCAACATAGATAATAAAAATAATAGAACTGCAGTATTAACGATCCTGCATCAAGTCATTGATAATTTCCACTCATTATTAATGCTTATGAGTTTCACGAGTGTACTGTAGTCTTTTTGTAAAATCAATTTATTTACTATGAGTGATTTGCTTATCTTTATTTACTACAAGTGATCCCTTCATTCATTTCATGGATACACATACCCCGCATACAGTATATGACCTGACATGAGCGATAAGAATTTTATTAAATGTGTTACTTTTATATAGAAAATCGAGTTCACAGTATTATGCGACTATTAACCGCAACTACTATATGATCAATATCAATTGTTTAACACTATTATCCACAGATACTCTTAAATTTTTCTAGCCTCTTCTGTATTCTTTCGAAGCACCGTAAATTTCTCGTGTGAGTCCGTGCGCCGAATTTCCACGGAAATTCTAGTACATCGTCCATTTCATCCCTTGAAGAAAATAGACACCGTTTTAGGCAAGTTTTAAATTCGATTAGAGAGGGATACACTATGGATTATGCGTTTGAAACTGTTAGACGTGAAACTCTGAACTTACTGGGGAAAAGATTGGGAAAGAAACTGTGAAAAACTTTTATTATGATGTAGGGGGTCCAAAATTTAGCACAGTGATGTCAATTATGAGATGGATAGTAAAGAAATTGCTCATAGTTTAGATAATAGCTTAAATAATAATCCAGAGTAGTAGGAAAGGAACTGCTAGTATATGAACTAGGGCTCGGCAGGGTTTTGAGCAGACATGTTCTTTCATGACTTTCCTCCCTTGAAACAACCTGCTATTCTATCATTTTTTATTTCATTTTTTACTTTGCCGGCTGGCTCTTTCTCATGTATTATTTTACAAAAAGATAATAAAATTTTTATTTTGAATTTTTAAATCATGTGAATTTACAAGTGATATTATATTTTTTGCTTTTGTGTTACTAAACTATTAAAACGCTATTCTATACTAACGAAAAAAAAATCTAATTCCTGCTGTTCGTTTGACCTTTCACCATAATTGATGGTAGCACTCCTTTAATAATCAAGAAAATGTTCAGGGAAAGTGATCTATCTCACTTTGACAAAGAATGATGAGTGAACGATAAAGCAAATGGGATTAATACAAAATGCACAGGTCTGAAGATAGGGGTGTTTCGATAGTTGATGATTTCTTAGGTAATTCCTTTGGTATTTGCTTGGGTCTCTTTGAAGAGGAACTTGATTGTTGCTCATAACATAATGTAACATTATCATCATAAACACTATCAATTGAAGCTTTAGATGTATGGATTGATGAGGAATTCGTAGATGCCCCTTGTGATGATGATAACTCACTCATCTTACTTAACCTTCTAATACCATTATTATGCACTTGATCAAATGATAGTTCTAGAAAATAAATTCATGATGTTAGTAATATAGCTGGACTTATAACTATTTGCCAAAGATATATACCTGATTTTAACCAAAATTCACTAGAAAACTCTTCATAAATCTCTTTGTCAACTAAATTTCTTTTAGTTCCAATATCTTCTTTATATTTTTAAGCTGTCTAATAAAAAAACAATTATATCAACCTAAGGCAGATTCCTCCAAAGAATTCAGTAATCACCACTTATTTTAAATGCCTTTTTGAGATTTGTGAACTTTTTATTATAGTCCTTACTAGTAAAATAATTTGTATTTTCCCATTCGTTAATCTTATTAGCAATATCATTCCAGAAAAGCCGTTTCTTCTTATTTGAAGTAGCATAGTATTCAAAATTTCTCTGCTTTCATTCATCAATAAGGAAGCGAACCTGAGCGTTGCTCTACTTAATAGTTGTCATATTTTTTCTGGGAAGATTCTCTAGAAAGTGCTCATTTTATGAAGAAATATCAAGTGACATTAGACTAATTAATGTAATGATAATTCAAATAATAATAGTGGTTTATATGCTACATAAAATCTGATTATCCCACGTGATTTGAGAAACATCTTAGCATTATGATAGTTCCTGAAGAGTGTCGTGAAACTGTCAGGGTTAAAGATGGGAACTGTAATTAATATGTTGTAACTTTTAATGTTGCAACTTATGTTGCAATTAGTTTTAACCTATAT